GCACATGCGCCCGGCGTGGGTTTTAAGCTTGAATTGCTTTTTGAAAGGGAAGAGTTTGAAGAGAGTTATTTGTCCATCCTCTTTGGTCCTTTCTCATAGCTGAAGTGTTTGCAAGAGAGCTAACAAGAGTTAGGAGTCTTTGGAAATAACAGAGCAAATTATACACATCTGATAAAACTAATAGCTGTGTTTTGTTTTTGTTGTTTTGTTTTTAAGAGAGATTTTTGTCATAGGGTGCATGCACTTGCCAGAGAGACAGAGAGAGAGAGACAGAAAGTGAGAAATCACACCCCTCCAGAAGGGGGGGGTGGTAATGCCGCAACACCTTTCTCCAGTTCTCCTCTTGGGATTTTGGGCATGCATGCATACATGCCCAGCATGAATTTTAAACCTCCAGGTCTGGGACTTGAACTAAGGGTGACTGTGTGGGAGTCTAGTGGTGTAACCATAAGCCATCTCCTGGTCCCAATAGCTGGTCTTTTTAACAGTTTATTTTAAATAGTGGTAAATATTCAAAGAGAAGTGTGCTATATGCAGATTAATTACCATCCCACACCCTAAAGAAAGAACTCCCTTGGCTATTCTTGTAAAATGAGCCCATGGGGAGCTGGGTCATGCGGAGCAGCACACAGTGTTTCTAGGACTCAGAAAGTCATCCCAGAACTCTAGGTTTGCAAAAACTCCAGGTTTGGGTCCAATCATCTCTGTTTTAAAAAGCTCTCTGTGCTGCTGATGGTAGACAAATTGGAAATCACTGCCTTTGATGTTTAAAATTCAACTCCTCATGTCACTGTGAATCTCCCCACAGTATTCGGAATCTCTGGCCTCTGTCCCTGGGTATGAACGATGCTGTGAGTCAGGTGTGAGACAGACACATCCTATCTGGGTCTGAGTCTGATTTATCATCTCAGAATTAGCTCTCACAGCCCAGCATCTTAAAGTCTGTGCTGTTGGTATACGAGGGGCCTTGTGGTGGTGCAGCAGTAGCACAGTGCACTCTGAGAGGCCACAGGAAGGTTCTGGGTTCATGTCCGGGAGCCTCCCTGGAGTGTGTGACACACGAGGTGCCCCTGACCAGGCTGAGCAGGGTGGAAGTGACTGTGGGTCAGGACCATGCTGGGAGGCTGTTTCTTTCACTCACAGAAGAAATTAATGAATAAACTTTTAAAAATGCTGGTTATTGGGATAATACTCCTTCCTGTAGGAGGTTGCAATATAGATTAAATTAAGATACATTACATGTGAGGCAAGTGGTCTCTTGATAATACTTACCTTTCTTTTCATGGATCACAGTATTGGACAATCTATTTCTTTCAGAGGCCTTACAAAATTGGAATTTAGAATCTGTGTTTAGTACAAATCTTCTTTAGTATTTTAAGGGTAGAAAACTTCCTTCACATGCTCCTTCTGTGTTAGGTGGATACAGTGCCACATGGGCTGGCAGAGGACTGTGCTCTGTGATGCTGAGGCCTGTGGGAAGGTCCTGGTTTGCACCTTGAGGTCTCCCTTTGCACTTTGGGCACATGCATATGCACCCCTGCTCATGGCCCTGGCTGACTGAGGCTGCAGGAGGAGGCAGTGTGAGGACTCTGCTGGAGATGCCTCTCTCTTTCTTCCTCTCTTTCTGTCTCCCTGTCTTTTGGAAGAAATAAATAAAAAAAATAATAACTTTAAAGAAAATGACAGAAGAAGGTTAATGGAGTTGCTCGAAGTTATAAGGCAAGTGAATCCCCAAGACAGTATCCTTGTCTGTGGAAAATTTTATATTGAGTGTTTAATTCCATTACCTGCTACTCATGGATTCAGACACTAAGTGGTTAAAATTTGGACTACTTATTAGCCAATGCAGCTATTTATTTGATAAAAAAGGACATCTAACTATACCTTTTAAGCTCAAGAAATTATTCACAGAGCATAATCCTGGAAGTAAAAGGCTACAGAAATTTCATCTGTGGTCTCTTGTCCCAGTTCATTTCTTTACTCCAACTCTCCTGGCGGTTTCTGTGGCGTGACAACCACCGGCAATGCAGCCCAGGATTGTGAAAAGATTATTTCAGGAGATTTGAGTAGAACATTGTTCACATTTGCAGAAATCATTTCCCAAGTGATTTTTTTTTCTTTCACCTAAAACATCCTGTACCCATGCTATTTCTTTGACAACTTTGCAATGAATCAGTCAATAAGTATTTATTAAACACAAATTATTTCCTGGAAATTTTAAGTAAGTCAGAGAAGTTGACATAGTTAAAGGAAGCCTGCCCACTCACACTCCCTGGGGCACACTGCCCTGGGGTCCCTTCTCTTGTCCTGCAAACACTGACTCTGGCTGGGATACAGCTGGTCGTAAATGGGGCAATGGGGCAGGGACTGGCCAGTGGCTTCTGTGCTTGGTGTGACGACCTTGGAGAATCTTAGTTCTCTTCTGGGACTTAGGAGACTAACTCAAGGATCTCAGGTAGAAAGGAACTGAAATAAAAATTAAGAAACATAACATGGCAGAAAGTAGAGGAAATAGAGGAGAGAGGGGATGGGGCAGTGAGGAACACTTGGACCAGAGCAGAGCTAGAACATGAAGTGTGGGTTCCCGTGCTCTGTGGAGAGCACCAGGGAGAGCGGAAAGGTGATGAGACTATGTGGACGTCAGCGTCTGCCTGAGACAAGCATGTTCAGGGCAGGGAGGCACAGGAAGGCTGGCTGTAGTGGCCTCGTGCTGAGTGCAATGTGACAATGACATTAAGGAAAGACTTCCCTAGAGGGAGCTGAAACATGGGCACGTGGAAATTCACGATGGAACACTCTGCCATCGAGCGATGTGTGCTCGCGTGTGCAGGGCCACCCTGTGAGGTTTGTGGTGCCCCTCGCTGAGCAGGCTCAGAGATGCCGAGTCGCTGTTGTACAGAACGGCGGTTCACTACTTAGTGATACAAGGAGACAATCTTCTCACTGTATCATTTTTATTTATTTATTTTTAAAAGTCTATTTATGTTCTAGAGAGAGAGAAAGGCAAGCGTCCTCAGCAAGGTGTCCTGCTGAGACCTACCTCCAGCATCCCAGTCAGCCAGGACCATGGGCTCACATGTGCACCAGGGTGCGGTTGACTCAGGAACCAAAGCCTGGGTTCCATGGGGTTCTCAGCACATGGTTCTGCCATGGCTGGACCTACCCTTGCTGTTAACTAGTGGATTGTATCCCTGTTGGAAAGTTACACAAGGAAACCAATTATAAAATCATCAGTTATAAAACCATAGTTTGATCAACATGTAAAGCAAGTAATGGGGACTTGATTTAAAATTGTTATTTAATAGCATCTCTTTCTGCTAATAAATAATACTTAACCTTTGTCCAGTGGTTAGTATATGCCAGGAAACTTTGTATACATTTTGTCTTATATTAATCACTCGGATCTTTAAAACTACTCTGAGAGGCTGGCAGGGGGGATGGTGATTAAGGTGCTGGACTCTCACATGGCCAACCACAGTTCAAGTTCTGGACCTGGTGGCTTGCTCTACCTGTTTCTTTTTCTCTTGTTCTGTTCCTCTATCTCTCTCTCTTGTTCTGTTCCTCTGAATAAATAGAGTTAAAAAAAAGAAGAAGAAAAAAAGAAAAGAAAACTGTGCTGAGAAGAGATAAAGACACAGAGAAGTTCTATGACTCAACACAGGTCACACAGCTCATCGATGCTGGAGCTGGGGTTTGATCCGAGTTCCTCAATCCGGTTTCAGTAAGCTCTTGTTCCTGGGGTACATTCATGTCTCACTCACAGCTCACTGAGCAAAGGATGGCTATAATCTGGCCCAGATTTAACCTGATGACCTCCTACCTCTGAGTGATGTGATAGTGCTTGAAAAGTGAGCTGAGCTGTACTAATGTGTTAAATCTGCCAGTCTGTGGTAAAGCATGTCAGAGCAGCTGCCAAAAAGCCATCTTTGTCTCATTCATCCCTATTAAATTGAAATTTATTTTGGATCATATTCCAATAGGATCTTTGAGACCAAACTGTTCTGTATTTTTCTTTCTCTCTTTCTTTCCCTCTCTCTCCCTCTCTCTCTCTCTCTCATATCAAATTAAAAAATAAATGAGTGAATAAGTAAAATTAAATAAATAAATCTTAGAAAAAAGACTGAAGCAGAAATGTCATGATTCAGAAAGAGCCTGGAAGCAAAGTTGGGGTTTGTGAGACAGGATACAGGTGAAGGAGTGGGAAGGGGGGGGGCAGAAGGAGGAAAGAGCACCTTTAGGAGGAAGGCTCTGTGTTTTGTCTCTGGTTGTGCACACCCTCCACTATGAGGTCAGCCTTTTCTTCATTTTTAAGTTTATGTATTTATTTCTTCCACGAACAACAGAAAGCAAGCACTCTCAGTAGGAGCTGGACACTGCAGTCCAGCCTTGGCCGGGCAGGTGTCTCTGGGTGCTAACCCAGGACCCTCCACGTGGTGTGCCTCTCCCTGCAGCTCCCTGCTGCTCCACGCCCAGTTCTCCCTCTTTACTCTGCAGTGATGATGCACACCTAAGCATGAGGTGGCTGGAGCCAGTTTCCTGCTTTTAGTTGAAAAAGATCAAAATCGTGTCATGCACTGAAGAGAGTGTGGATGGGTGCGGTTCTTTCTTTATATATACCGATCATAGAAATAGAGTTACTATGAAAATATTTTATATATACAGATCATAGAAATAGAGTTACTATGAAAATATTTTATATATACAGATCATAGAAATAGAGTTACTATGAAAATATTTTATATATACAGATCATAGAAATAGAGTTACTATGAAAATATTTTATAGATACAGATCATAGAAATAGAGTTACTATGAAAATATTTTATAGATACAGATCATAGAAATAGAGTTACTATGAAAATATTTTATAGATACAGATCATAGAAATAGAGTTACTATGAAAATATTTCTTTCTCAGGTGATTTTTTTTTTTACCATTTTATGCATTTTTAATAGTTAACATTCAAAGAGCAGTTTTTCCTCTTTCTGTTTTTAGTTAACAGGAGACATGAGAAGATGCTCCAGGTGCCCCCGTCCTCTGATAAGATGTGAAGCTGTGACACAAACGGGCGGCAGTAGTAGAGGGAGGCCCTGGGTGAGCAGCCATTGCTGGGATTGTATGACACCGGGGGACGAGGCCATCCATTTCTTAGAGAGGCTCTGCCCTTGCTGGGATTGTAGGATGCCGGGGGATGAAGCCGTCCATTTCTTAGAGAGGCTCTGCCGTTGCTGGGATTGTAGGATGCCCGGGGATGAGATTGTTTCTTGTAGAGGTATCTGGGGAACGCTTGCTGTGTCAAAGCTGTGACCTGTGGACAGTGAGGGACAGAGCCAGTTCTAACTCCTCAGCGACTCAGGTTGGAGCAGTGGGGCTGGATATGATGGGGTGTGTGGGCATGGGCTCTCTGGTAAGTCATCCTCCAATTTACAGGAATACCGTCTGTATAAATCTCCATTGTGTGTTTTTATTATATATTAAATATTATAATATATACATTTTTACCCAAATATGCATCAGTAGATACTAAAATTAGCTTCCTTATCTTAGTTTCTATGAATAATGCTTCAATTAACATGGTGATTCATATACCTCTTTGATATACTGATTTCCTTTGGATCTATACCCTGTGTAGAATTGCTGGATCATATGGTAGATCTATTTTTAATTTTTTGAGGAATTTTTCTAATATTTTCCACAATAAGCAAGGATTCCCTTTCTACATCTTTACCAACATCATTATTTTTTTTTTCTAATAGTCACTTTAACAGGTGTGAAGTGATACATCTTTGTGGTTTTAATTTCCATTTACCTGGGTTTTACTAACTCTGAGCACTTTTTTCATATACTGATGGCTGATCTATATTTTTCAGAAATTTTTTTTAGGTTCTTTCATTTACTTTCTTATTAGGTTATTTGTTTTCTTTCTATTGAGTTGTTTCAGTTTCTTATATACTTTGGATATTAATTTTTTATCATATATATCTTTTTGTTTTTTTTAGAGGTTTTCGCTATAGGGCGTATGCGCTCGCCAGACAGACAGAGAGAGACAGAGAGACAGAAAGTGAGAAATCACCCCCAAGGGGGAATAATCACGCCGCAATCCCTTCTCCTCCATTCTTGTCTCGGGATCTTGGGCACACACGCACACACGCCCGGCGTGAGTTTTAAGCCACCAGGTCCGGGACGCGAACCACGGTCGACTACGTGGGAGTCCAGCAACATAGCCATTATGCTAACTGCTGGTTCCCTTATCATATATATCTTTTAAAAATATTTTCTTCCTGGGGTCAGCAGGTAGTATAGTGGTTAAGGCACTGGATTCCCACATGACTGACTGTGGTTTAATTCCCATGATCCTGTAGCTTGAAACATGCTAGGCACGTGTGAGTGTGTGCCCAAAATCCCCAGAGGAGAATGGAGGACAAGGGACTGCAGCATGGCTATCCTCACAGGGGTGATTTCCCACTTTCTCTCTCTCTCTCTCCAGTGGGTGCAAATCTCTCTACATTTTTTCCATTTCATGTGTTGTCTCTCCCCTCTGCTGGTTATCTCATTTGCTGTGCAGGGCGTTTTAGTGCAAGGTTTTCTCACTCATCTATTTTTACTTCTGTTGCCTATATTTTTGTGGTCATATTTTTAAAAATAATCATTGGACAGACCTATGTCATGAAGCTTTTCCCCTGATTTCTTCTAATAACTCACAGTTTACAGATTCAGGTCTTATGTGTAAGTCTTTGATCCATTTTTAAAAGTCATTCTATTAAGAAAACTTCTGGTAAACTCCTTTGCAGATGAATATAAGAAAACCGAATGCAGGCCCAATGACGTCATGAAGGCTATGGACTATATTATAGTGCTGATTTAGGCAGTACTACTCTGTTTTGAGACCCAGAGGCCAGGTACTGTGTATGAGATGATGAGAGGATTCTTGTGGATTAGGAGCGAAGTGCTAGTCGTGTTGTCCATACGCCTCCTGTCTTTGCTGTTATCAATAATTTAGTCAGGCCTGACCTGCGTTTTGTTTTCTTCACAACTACTGCCTGAATTGCAGACCCAGCTAATCTTGGCCTTCAGACTTAAGAATTAGAAACTCTAAGAGGTGCTCTCCAATATTTATTTCTTAATAACTAAAAGCTTCATTGGTGTTTCCAGTGCAGACATATAACCAAAACTTGAGGTTCTATTTGTAGCCTGTGCTATGGTAGGCCATAGCTGTAGCTCATACTTCCCACGTTGAAACATTTTTTGAAGGCTCATAAGTTATTTCAATATTGACATCTGGCTCTTCTCACAACAAATACATTTACTCAATACATACTAGCTTGACCACGTTCATATTGAACTTACCAGTCTCCCTGAAATTGTAAGATCTTTGTAGAAGAGAGATCTTTTTTACCTCTAAGTAGAGCTCTCTACACTCCTGGGGAAAGAGGAGAAAACAGAATTTCAGATACACATTGAAGTCACTGAACACAGGGCTCAAGAACCCAACCTCATGCTATTGCCAGTAGAAGAACCAGACTTCAGTAGGTTTATGTGTAATGTATCATTTTGAGCACATGTAGTCCTGCAAAAATGAAACTGCTCCTAGTTTGAAATAATTAGGAATTTAACCAAATACTAGTGATTTTCTACTATGGAGCCATGTAATTTTCTACAATTTCTGCTACAATGTTAGCACAGCAATGGATGCATGACAGGTCCTTGCAAAATATGTCTGTTTTATAACACGGTGGAAAATGGAAAGTGAAGGTTAAGCATTATTGTAAACTACAACTGTAAAACACCACATGGTTAGTGATCATAAATATGTATACATGATACTAATCTAATAATGTCTCAGAACTCTGGCTTTGATAAATGGAGATATTAACGATTACAAATTATGGATCATTCATACATTTTGTCATTTTATTCATAAAGTTTCTGTTTCATAAAGCAAGTGTACTATGCTAGGATAATAGGGAAATAAATGTGACATACTTAAAGAAAAGTGTGATGTCATCTGATGTTGACCATGTGCACTGTCAGGAAAAATGGGGTGGGCACTTACTTTGGTCATTGAAATCTGGACTGCCTTTAGAAGATGATGTCTGTTTTGAGTTTTTAAGAATAAATAAGTTTCAGAGTTAAAGACCGACTGGGAAGAAATTACTATAAGTAAAAAACAGAAAGAATATGCTGGCAGGAAGAATTTTGAGTGCAATAGTACACTGCATTTGGATATAGAGTTCTTATGGTCTGGTCGTGGGTAAGACTAGGCACAGCAAGGGCAAGACTATTGAATACCTTTTCTTCTTACTAAACTGAGGAAATAGATTTTATTTTACCTAACGCAGAGAAAAAAACGGGCAGACACTGTGTCTGGTGAAAATCATCTATGGTCCTGTGAAAGGGAAGCCAGGCAAACACAGGGGTGGGATTGGTCGTGACCAAGGGTAACTGGTGCTCATCCTTCCAGGACCTGGAGCTGCACAAAATGCATCTCAGATTAGGAAGTGTGTCTCCACTGCCTGGGGCCACGGCCAGTGTGGCCTTCAGCTCCCTCATTTCCAGGCTGTGCGTGTAGCCTTCATGTATGGGAGGCAACTGCCCAGGAGGTAGGGACCGCACAGAGGGAGGTCGGGTGACTCAGGGTCTGTCTGTTCCTGTGAGAAGCCATACAAACCTATGGTTGTTACAGAGGGGCCAGGGGCAACCATGGAACCGGAAGGATTCTGTCAGTAAAGCAGAAAAGGGACCTGATAGAGAAAGATAGATGGCTTCTAATATGCACGTAGGCATGGTTTCCTTCTTGCTATGAAATAAATCCAGATAGAAGAGATGTCCCTCTAATTAGGAAAACCTGCGCTCACCCTCCCTCAGGCTCCACTGCCTCAGGAGGGCTGCTGGAGGGTCCCATGTGTCACTGGGACCTGGTGGCATGGTCAGGTATGCCACACAGCCCTTGGTGCTTCACCAGCTAAGGCACAAATAGCATTTCAGATGAGTATCTGCTTGGGTCCCGGACAGGGTATCTTTACTTCTATTAAACATTTAGGTAATAGTCGGGTTCACAAATAAGTAGTCAGCCTGGGAATTTAAAGCAACTGGAAGAAAGTATGTCAAATGGCTGGACTCTCCTGTGCTCGGGGCCAGGTCTGAATGAGCAGGGAAAGCCCAGCGCTCTGGGAGGACCTGACTGGCTGCTACCCCGAATGCACCGGTGAGACCCAGGCCTGTGTCCTGAGTTGACACTGGCCTTGAGATCAAGAGAATGCAACCTGCATCAGCAAACAGGGTCCCCTGCCCCTCCTTGCTCTCTCCAGGTCTGTAAAACCTTGAGTACTAAGTGAGCAAAGCCAGGATCCAGCAAAGGAAAATAAGAGAGAATCCAGGCTCCAGGGAAGACATCCCGCTTATCCTTCTCAGGAGTCTGAGGAAGCTTTTAGTATAGTTTAAAGTTTGTCTTCAGATTTGGGGAGTTCTTATATGCTAATATTGCCATGCATCTCTGACTCCCAGGGTACCTGCTTCTCTACTTTCTTATTTCTCTTTCTCCTACCCCTAAATTCTCCAATAGTTGTGTGATATTTAGCCAATTATCCAAGGAGGAAAAGAGTTGAGCAATTTACTCGTGAATCGGCACCCAGAGTGGCAGAGGCAGATGTTTCAGTACAGTCCGCGTCTGGTGGGCCCAGAGGGCGGTGACAGGGGCATCCTTTCCAGTGGGCGAACGACAAGCAGCTCACTGGGTCAGTACAGTCTGTAGAGGGAGATGTGCACTGGGGTATGGTACAGTCTGCAGAGGGAGATGTGCACTAGTGTGGTACAGTCTGCAGAGGGAGATGTGCACTGGGGTGTGGTACCATCTGCAGAGGGAGATGTGCACTGGGGTGTGGTACCATCTGCAGAGGGAGATGTGCACTGGGGTGTGGTACAGTCTGCAGAGGGAGATGTGCACTGGAGTGTGGATGTACATTGATCCGGGGCACTGGTAAGCGGGATTTGGTCAAGACTGGAAAATCGATGGGAGGAGAGTATGGAGAAGAGGACGCAGATGAACTTCTCAAAAGGCACATGGATCGTGAAGATACCTGTGTTCCGCACAACGGCCCATTTAGGGCGTTCACTAAAGGGACGGTCTCCATGGGGAGGAGGCGAGGTGACTCTCCAGGAGCTCCTCAGCAGGCGAGGGTGAACAGGAGGATTGTGGCTGGGCACTCGTAGATGCGTGGGTGCAGTGTGCTGTCGATAAGGCACTAGCTTACGGAGGAGCCAACTCAAAGTTCCACTTTTGAGGGGTTTGATCCTCTGCCTCCTCTCTGTTCAGGAGGAAGACTGGTTTTACTTCTGGTACCATGTAGGTAGGTCGTTCCACACCAACAGCCAGTCCTTCAGCTGTCTGGACACTCACTGGGAGTCCTACAGCCTGTTCCACTCAGTATTAACTACCCGAAATTGCTGTCAGACTCTTCAGGGTTACTGTTCTGTCCGCACCTCTGTCCTCAGGTCAGACAGCAGTCACAGGCTGTCACCTGCACTTCTGACCAAACGGCTGTAAATCGGGAATTCTGTCAGGTCTGGTGACTTACTAGAACACCTCGCCAAGCTCAGAAAGGCCGTTTACTTATATCCGCAGCTTTATTACAAAGGGTTATGAGAGAATTACCAGCCCAAAGACAGGAGCAAAGTGCTATTTTGGAAGGTCCGATTCTGGGACGCACCACTTCCCGGCACGTGGGTGTGTGAACAAGCCAGACAGTTTCTGGACCCCATTCTTTTTTTTCTTTTTTTTTTTGGAGAGGTTTTTTGCTATAGGGAGTGTACACTAGCCAGAGAGACAGACAGAAAGTGAGAAATCAACCCCTAGGGGAGATGGCCACGTCGCAATCCCTTCTTCTCTATTCTCCTCTCGGGATCTTGGGCACACTCGCACACGCGCCTGGTGTGAGTTTAAGCCACTGGGTCCAGGACTGGAACTGCGGTCGACTACATGGATGTTCAGCGACATAGCCATTACGTCAACTGCTGGTCCCTGGACCCCATTCTTTATGGGTTTTATGGAGGCTTCATCATGCAGGCACAGTTGATTAAATCACAGGCCACTGGTGATTGAACTCAATCTCCGGCCAGTCTTCCTTCTGGAAGTCTGGAATGAAAGTGAAAGTCACAACCGCTTAATCACATGACTCGTTCCTTCCTCTTGCTGAAGCCACCTAATGCTGCCAAGAGAGTCCCCTTACTAGCAGAAACTCTGGCCTGGCCCTTGCTATGAATGGCAAAGGATGCTCCTATTACTCAGGAAATTCCAAGGGTTTAAGAAGTTCTGTGCTAGAAACTAGCGACAAAGACCAAATACAAGTTTATACCATACCACACGTAATTACAGGCAAAAGCGGCACATTGAAGGATGGCCAGATCAGGACGTGAACACAGTTTAAACCGTTAGTAGCTCTGGAGTTACCTGGTCTTTATGAGATTAACAATTCTTGCCTCGTGGCATCATTAAAAATATTGGAAAAAATGTGAAAGTTTTCACACAGATTAAGCACCCTCAATGGCAGATATTATTAACCATTCACAAAATTGCATAGTCGTATATAAATAGTATACACAATGACTGTATATATTTGGTCGTTGGAAAAGTCATGATGTATTTTTCTGTTTTTCTATACAGAAATGCACCATGACTTTTTCAATGACCCACTATAACACCACATATAATGTGACATAAACAACGAACTAAACAAGATAGTAACGTGTATAACATATATAACAAGAAACAAAATAATTAACAAAACGGTATCATAATTAATAAAAAATAAAAAAGAATGTATTTTTCTTTACCTTGATCTGAAACTGATGTATGAATAAACTCATTCATTTCAGATTTCTTAAATTTAATTTTAACTTATTTTATACATTCAGTCACTACACATTGCTACAACTTGTAAAGTAAATTTACCCAACATTAATATACTTCAGTGTATTCATTTTAGATCTACCTAGCTTGAGTTCAAACAATATTAGGACTGACATAATACTACCAATAATCCTGCTATCCAAAGTCATTTTTAAAATGATAGCGAGCATATGTGTACAGGTGCAGGACACAGGAAGAGAGAGAGGAGCCTTGATCGGACCTTATCCTGCTACCATCCCCCTTCCCCAGCTCTCTAGCACTCAGGATTCTGAGTGCCTACACGGCATGCCCAGTATGCTTTCGGGCAAACCTAGGGACTTGAACATGTGGCATCCAGCTTCTAGCCTTCCAGTGCACCTGTGTTACCTCTGTGTCACCACGGCGGAGCTGCCAACATCAATTTTTGATATATTTAAACTTGTTCTTTCTCCTCTGAAATGACCAGTCTTTAATTTTGTCGCTACTTCCCTGAAAAACCACAGCAGTTCTCTAACATAATGTGCTTGAGAGCGTTTTTCACATCTTTGTTCCTCAGGGTGTAGATCAGTGGGTTTAGCACGGGGGTGACTACAGTGTAGAAGAGAGCTATGAACTTTCCCTGCTCGTGAGAGTTGCTCTTGGCCGGCTGCAGGTACATGAAGATGATGCTTCCATAGAACAGAGACACGACAGCCATGTGGGAGGAGCAGGTGTTGAACGCCTTCCTCCGCCCTTCTGCTGACCTGATCTTCAGCACAGCCCGGGCAATATGGCCATATGAAAGCAGGATGAGACCCAGGGGCAAGACTACAAAGATGAAACTGGCTAGGTACATCTCCACTTCATTGAGGCTGGTGTCCACGCAGGCCAGCTGTATGATAAGGGGCATCTCACAGAAGAAGTCGTAGATGCGATTGTTCCCACATAGAGGCAGGAGCACGGTGAGTGTGGAGCCCACCAGACTCGTGCTCAGACCCCCGAGCCAAGAGGTGAAGGCCAGGACAATGCAACACCGTGGACTCATGATGACAGTGTAGCGAAGTGGCCTGCTGATGGCCACGTAGCGATCATATGCCATGACAGCCAGGAGCACACACTCAGTCGCCCCAAGCCAGTGGGAGATGTAGAACTGCGTCACACACCCTCCATAGCTGATGGTTCTCTGAGGTCCCCAGAGGTTAGTCAGGAGCTGTGGGACAATGCTCGTGTTGATGCTGATGTCCAGGAAGGAGAGGTTGACGAGGAAGAAGTACATAGGTGTGCAGAGATGCTTGTCCACACAGGAGACCAGAACGATGATTCCATTGCCCAAGACAGAGACGATGTAAAACCCCAGGACAACAGTGAAGAGGACGGGTTCCAGTGAGGGCTGTGCAGAGAAAGAGAAGCCCATGAGCACAAAGAGCTCTGGAGTACTTACATTGGCTATTTTCATCATTATGTGCAGCTGGGAGTGGGCGAAAAGGCCACCTATGAGTGAACGGGGGCACAGAATATGAGACATGGAGCTATCACAACAGAAAACTGTATTTTAAAGAGAATCGATTCATTATAATAAGAATTTATCCAGGTCGAGGAGCACAGTGACAACAAACTCAACTGTCAGCTCTCTCGAAGCCCCAGGGTGAGCACCCTTCAGGTCATCTGTAAAACTAGTGTTCCATCAAGCAGCACAGCATAAGCACACACTCTCCAAACCGTGTCAGGTGTCCCCCACACAGAAATAGCACTCCTAGAGCTCCAGGAGCTGCCGAAATGCAAACACAGAGGCGGCGCCAGCGTGGACCCCTGCTCCTGAATGCTGATCCTCGCACAGCAGGCTGGGGGAGCTTCAGTTTCCTAGGAGGAAGCTCTCAGGAGAATCGCTGCTGACCCCCTCAAGGCAGGAGGTAGCTGAGAGCTGTCAGAACATGGGTGTTTCATAGGCGATGGTGACAGGGAGGAGGCAGGTTAGAACTGTGATGTGCAGCAGTCACGGCCCAGCTGAAGTGCTGCTCCCAGCACACAGCGGAACCAGAGGGGCCAACAAACGAAAGGCTCTACTGGTGTCCGCATTATGACCTGGGGTGGCCCTGCTCCCTGGAGAGGCAGAACTGTGCTGACACAGGTTGCTACTATGCAGAAAACGTACAAGTGTCACCATGAGACGGGGTGACCGTAGAGCACTTATGAGGTACTAGTTTAATATGATTTTTAACGAAAAAGAGATCTTTCTGTTGGTCCTCTCTTTTTCTAGAAAGGTCAGCGCATGCACGGAGCCCAGAGCTGCCCAGTAATCCTAGAGGCACACGTATTAGCAAAAACAAACATGCCCAGGAAAGGAAGAACCAGATTCATCGAAGTGGTCACACCAAGGAGCCGTCACGACAGAGCTGGCACTGATTAACGACAATCGCAAATGGCTCCCAGAGTGTGGACAACCTGCTAAAAGACCAACGATCAGAAGAGAAGAATCAGATCATTTAAATGGATCACCATTCATCAACCTTAAGGGGATCCCAGTTTGTCTTAAATACCATAAAAACAAACCCCAAAATGTCACTTACTGATGGAGAATTAGCAGCGTTATCTGTCTTTACGCAGGGTGGCTATGTTGTTGAGAAAGTAAAATTTTATTTCAAGGTTTGAAAACATTCATGAATTTGGTACATGTGGCATTACACAGTAGGAGACCCGCTGAGGGATTTTAAAGCCCCCTCAAAACTCAGTGATGTTAGATGAGCTGGGTGCTCTTCGAATGCATCGTTAAAGGACACATTCTCAAGTCTTCTAATCAGAGAAGGTTTCAACTAGAAAAAAGTGTTCAATTTTTCCTGAGAAAACTGGTGGTCAAAGGAATGCAGATGGCTTATGATGTCCCGGAATGAGAAATGCATGCTCCCCACAACACGAAGTGCTACGTAAAGCTCTTATACACGGAAGGCGTTTGTTTTACCCCCTGGGGTGTTCACAAGGGAAGCGGAGGTGATGGTGTTTTTCAGGGCAGTGAAATTGGAGGGTAAATAGCTTTGGGGAATTTTTTCCCTACTAGATAATTAAAATTGCATTGTCATGTACACTCAGTGTTGTTTGTTTCTTTCTATGAATGAACACTATTTGAGGTTTGTATACTATCAAACGTAGCTTATAAAGCATAAGAATCAAGTCCCTGTACATGAAGATTTAGTATGTAGTTTGAGAAATATTTGCCCATTATACTAATTTTGATTCAAGTTGCTATGGCTTTTTTTCTTTTTTTTTTTCAAAAAAAAAAAATTCAATAATTTTATTATTGTCATACACCTGAGTGGATAGCTTGCATCTTTCTTAATATTATGTTTATCTTTATTGTGAAAAAATACACATGAAATGTCCATTTACCATGGTAACTACTGGAAAGCGTACAAGCCAATGAAGTCAGGCTCACGGTACACTGCAGTCAGCACCGTGAAGGTCCAAACTTTCCATGCGTCACTCCAGATGGAGACCCACACCACGAAGCAGTCCTTTCCCACTCGTCAGCCTCCCGGCTCTGCAACCACTAATCTGTGCCCACGTCCCGGATGTGGCCGCTGGGAGATGCCGTGTGCAGGGCTCGTGTGCTGGTGCGAGTGGCCTCTCAGTCTGGCTCTTTCACTGTGTGGTGTTTCCACGGCCTGTCTGTGTCACGCACACCTGTGACTCATTCTCTTCCACAGCTGAACAGCAGCCATGCTGACTCTGCACCTTCTCTTTGTTCCTCTGCTGACAGGCATTTTTGTTCGTTTATTGATAAACATTTAAGTCATTTCATCTTTTGCTCTTATAAATAGAGCTGCTCTAAGCATTCACACACAAGTTCTGCTTGAACATTTGTTTTCAGTCCTTCCAGCAATCCCACCCAAGAGTGGGATTGCTGAGTCTTATGTTAATTCTGTGGTAACCTTACTGTGGAACTGGCAAACTTTTCCATCATGGCTAAACCATTTTGAATTTCTACAAGCAATGTAGGGATTCAGTTTCCAATTTCTCCACATCATCACCAGCACTTGTTATTTTCCATCTCTCTGTTTTTAAGAATTATATATTTATTTAATTCCATTTGTTATTATTATTTTTTTTAACTTGACCAAAGAGAGAGAGAAAGGGAAAGTGAGAAAGCAAGCTGCCAGGTCCAAGACTTGAACCGTGGTCAGTCATGTAGGAATCCAGCGTCTTTAACCACCACACCACTTGCTGGTCCCCTTTTTTTCTTTTTTTAATGACCTTCCTAGAGGTTGTGAAGAAGTACCCCATTGTAATTTCGACTTGCATTTCCCTAATGATTAATAGTGTGCATTTCTTCTTTTTTTTTTTTTTAAGAGAGAGAGATTTTGCTATAGGGTATGTGTACTCACCAGAGAGATGGAGAGAAACAGAGAGACAGAAAGTGAGAAGTCACCTCCCTCTGGGGGGGATGGTCACTACTGGAATCCCTTCCTCCATTCTCCTCTTAGGATCTCAGTCACTCGTGCATATGTGGCCATTGTGGATTTTTTTTTGTTACTAATGGATATGGTGTCATAGTTAAGGAATCATTGCCAAATCCAGGGTCATAAAGATTTGCTCCTGTTTTCTTCTAAGAGTTTTATATTTTTTAGCTCTGACACTTAGGTTCTTGATCTATTTTGGGTTTAGTTTTATATAGGGGATAAGGTAAGAATCCAAATTCATTCTTTTGTTTTCTTTTTTGGTTGTTAAAGGGCACATTTGGTCACCGGAGAGATAAAAAGAGAGATAGAGGCAGAGAGAGAGAACTCATTATTATGTTGCAATCCTTTCTCCTCCTTTTTCTGTCCTGTTGTCTTGGGCCATATCCAGTAGGTGACTGAACCCAAGGTCACCCCCCTGCCTCTCTAAATGCCAGGACTTGAGAGACAGATGTTAATGGAAAGAAGAGGTAGATTGATTCAGGAATTAGTGACCTGGGAAGACGGTGAGCTAATGTTCAAGACCATCTCTGAAGCCACAGGCTGGGAAAGTTTTTTTTTGAATGAGGAAAGTGGGGGGCCCACGTGCTCTCCTGCACAGTCGCATGAGCTGTGTTGGTGCCAGGGCTGCTGTGTTTCCTCTCACGGTGTTTTTCTCTCGGTTTTCCTAGACACGTCTGCTCTCTGGCTTTTGTTTCAAGGCCCCACTCCTGTGAGCACTCTGCAAAGCCATAAGTAGGGATTTTGCAACAGGTTAAACGGTAGAGCAAGGCCACTGTGGGAGAGGGAGGCTGACCACCCTCCAGGCCTAGTCCACCGTGTCATGCCCGACGTGGAGCTGCTCCGGTTTACAAATACAGAGTTCTTTCCTGAAGCTCTGTGCACTGTTGGATTTAGGGCACGTGCACACACACACACACTGGCACTCACACACTTGGCATATTTCTCAAGCCGCATGGTCAGAATGGAAACTACGGTCAGCCATGTGGGATCTGGTGCTATGCACAGAACAGCCATAGGACTGGGCCGGTCTTCGGCTTCACTCTTTAACAGGTGATGTGGTTACCTCTGTACTGCACTTTCCTCATGGACACACCTGGTCAAAAATCAATTGACATAGATATTTGGGTTTGCTATTATACTCTCAATTATTGTATATTAATTTACATGTCTAGCCCTGTGTTTGTATCACACTGTTTATTACTGTAGATTCATAGGAAGTTTCGAAATTGAGAAGTAGTAACCCTCCAGTTTTATTTTTATTTTCTTCTTCTTTTTTTTTTTAAGCTTTTGCCATAGGGTGCATGAACTGACTGGAGAGATGTAAAGGAAGGGAAAGGGGCAAATTACCTCCTCGGGGGATGGCCACACCATAATCCCTTCTCCTTCATTCTTGTCTCAGGATTTTGGGCACGCACATGTACATGTGCCCAGCATGATTTTTAAGCTGCCAGGTCTAGGACTCAAACTGCAGTCGGTCATGTGGGAGTTCAGCGTTTTCACCATCTCTTCTCCTGCTGGCCCCTTGCTGTTCTTTTTTTAGACTGTTTTGGCTATTTTGGGTTACTTGCAGTTCCATATGAATTTGAGAATTGTTTTTTGAATTTTTGTAAAAGAGTAGACATTAGTATTTTGCTTAGTTTTATTCATAGTTTGTTGACTTTAACAGTTCTGTGTGTGTGTGTGTGTGTGTGTGTGACTTCTTCAGGATTTCTTACATAAAGGATCATGTCATGTGTGAATAGAGACAGTTGTACTTCTTGCTTTCCAATTCAGGATCCATTTATCTATTTTCTTTGTTTTATGGTGGAAGAACTTGAGTTCCAGGTTTCTTTGTTGGCCCTCAGCGGCCTTAGTCTCACTTTTTTCAGATCTGTTCACACTAATGTGAGATAAAGGGGAAGTTTAAAATGCTGACTAGGTGGTGAGTTGTGTCACCGCATCTCTGTGGTTCAGTCTGGCACACCCTCTCAGACCCACTTAACTGAACGTCAGGCTGATGAGCACCTGTGCGTGAGCTGAACGCGGACACGTTTACTGCGGCTCTCAGATCTCCCCGTGGAGGGAGCACTCCCAGGGTTTGCTCAGCAGGTTGAGGTGGGGCTTGAGAACTGGCGTTTTTCGTGAGGTGTCTCTGCTGCCTAGGGGCCGCGCGTGCAGAACACCTGTCGCGCACTCCGACCAGCGGGACGCCACCCCCTGGGAGCGCATTGCAAAGGCAGCGTGGCGATCCCAGTTCAGAGCGGAACCCGCACCGACAGGCCCCGCGGGCGGTCTGCACACACGTGCAGTTTGGGAAGCAGAGCTGGGTACGTGGGTTAAGTCAGAATGAGGTGGATAGACCGAGCTGGGGTCTGCTGCGTTCCCGCTTCCCGGGTGCTGTCTCACGCTGGTCAGCCAACAGTGACTCGGCGCTTAACGGCTACGCCTCACGCTGGTCAGAGCGCTCGGTTCTGTGGCGGTAAAGGTCGCTTAAACCTCCCGCGTCGTTTTCCTCCTTTGGGAGCAAACCAGCGCGTAGGTCCCGGACGCAGCACAGACGTCCTGAGGGTTAAAAGCTGAAGGAAACCACTCTGCACCTGCGACCAGCTGGGGCGCCCAGGACGCCTCTTCCTCGCTCTCCGCCGCGGCGGCTCCTCGCTCCTGCGACCGGAGATCTCCCTGCGCCTCCTGCTCCGCGGGGCGGGACAGCGCTGGGCCTGGGCGGACCTGGCTGCTTCGCCCCCTGCCCGGGCCTGCCTGAAACTGCTCTCGCCCCCTTTCGCACCTTGTCAGAACCGTATCAGATCTCCGCGGAAAAGACGGTGCCATTTGGTTTCGTTTCATGGCCGTATTTTATCTCGCTCTCTCTCCTCCTTTTTCTTTTTCCCTAAGAGGCTCTGTGTGTTTGGAGAACGACATATGAGGAGGCTCCAGGTCTCTGATCTCTGAGGACCCGGGAGGTCTTGCAGTCCTGAAATTTACTTGGACAGAAAGAGAACTTGGCGCTCAAGTTTTGCCGGGTTCAGTTCTTGATCCCCCCTCTTCAGCGCGTACGCACGCGCCGCCCGCTGTCCCTCGCCTTCCAAGAGCCCCGCGCCCTCCCACGTCGGCTCCGGGCGCTGTGGCCGCAGGAGGCGACGCCAGGCCTCGCAGTGTGCTGGTCAGCGCTTGGTTGAGACGCTGCGAGTGGAGGGAAGGACGGGGAACTACCTCCTGCGAAGACGCGGGTGAGGCTGGACGCACTGCCTTTGCTGGAGGGCACTCTGAGGCTGATTGCTACTATTTGGGATAATATTTAGTGATGCTTGTTAAATATGCGTGCGGCCAGTCATACAATACACGAATTCCGGTTGCCAAGTCAAGTTCAGTTTCAGATAAACGCTTGTTAGTGCCTCACGCAGTATTTTGGGAATTACTGAGCAGATCATACGCCAAAAGGTGACTCTCTGTTTACCTGTCATTCTGGCGGCACCGCAGCCCTGCGTTTTAGAAAGCACCCCAGCCTGGGGCCGCCGCATCTTTCCACTCCTGTCTTTCCTGAGTCAGGTGTAGGGCTTACCTTCTGCAAACCCGCTTCATGGGTTGGTACGAAAATGAACAACCAGGTCCTTAAAAATTGTAAAAGCAAGTCACTCAAATGCTTTCTGACATGAGTAGTGCCTTTCTGGTGATTTTTAGTCTCATACTCTTCAAAAGCAGAGCGGATACAGTGACCAGGTGCGGCTCTCACACGCCCTCTGTGATCTCACTGGGCGCTCCCGGGCACCGCCTTCCTCCACGGCTCTCGGAACCTCTGGACCCCTATTCTATCCTGCAGGCCAGACCGATCGGCCAGCGAAGCCCCAGTCAGTGTCCCGGTCCCAGCGGAGCTTTTATTCCCAGCGTCTGGCATCTCCCGTGCAGGCTCCTTGTTCTCGATGTGAAGGTTTTATGCGTTCTGTTTTAGTAAGTCCGTTACTTTGGACACTGCGTCCCTCCCGTTTTTAGCACCCAGACTCTACTCCAGTGTCTCCTATCTAATAGTGAATTTTTCAAAAGCCCGATGCCAGCTTGGGTTAGCACAAATCAGGGGTTTAAAGATTACGTATTTAGGGACCAGCAGTTAGTGTAATGGCTATGTCGCTGGACTCCCACGTAGTCGTCGGCGGTTCAAGTCCCGGACCGCGAGGCTTAAAACTTATGCAGGGTGCATGTGCATACGTGCCCAAGATCCCCAGAGGAGAATAGAGGAGAAGGGATCACGACGTGGCCATCCCCCCTGGAGGGTGATTTCTTGCTTTCTGTCTCTCTGTCTCTGTCTGTCTGGCGAGCGCACACACCCTATAGCAAGAAACTCTCCAAAAAAAAAAAAAGATTACGTATTTAGGTCAATTAAATATACTTCTCTATTCTTTCTGCCATGAATAGGCTGTATGGACGTTATGTCCTCCTGGGCCCATACTTGGGGATGTTTCCACATTTTAATTTAAAGCCTGAATGCCTTGGTTGACAGACCTCTTGTGCCCAAGTTAACTTTGTGTCATATCTGCTTGTCAAAATTCAGTCATCCTGGAGACCAGCAGTTAGTGTAACGGCTATGTCACTTGACTCCCATGTAGTTGACCGCAGTGTGAGTTCCGGACCCGGTGGCTTAAACTCACGCCGGGTGCATGTGCATGCGTGCCCAAGATCCCGGGAGGAGAACAAGGAGAAGGGATTGCAGTGTGGTCATCTCCCCTGGGGGGTGATTTCTCACTTTCTGTCTCTCTCTGTCTTTCTGGTGAGCTCATGCGCCCTATAACAAAAACATCTCCCAAAAAATAAATACATAGATAGATAAATAAATAAATAAATTCATCCTGCAATGCCGTCAAGTCCTACACCTTCCTGACCACTGCCAGAAATTATTCTCAGTCTCCTCGGACTTGTACAGTTTCTATACATTAATGACTCTAAACATACTCTACTCCATGTCACGATTCCATATTTATAAGTCATTTAGATTATGGGTTCGTTGACTATGAGGTCAATACCTTTTCTATTTGAAATCCCTAAAATCCTCGCTAACACTGTCCAGGAGAGAGGCACTGGCTGGTTTGAGGAAGTGCATGTAGTTTTCATTGAAATCAATGAACGGTCTGATTTGGAACAGAGACTTAGAGGAACTTCCATGTTTTAGTTGCCCTCCTTTCTGTGTGATCTTAGAATACTCCTCACTAGAGGCAGGCAGTACTCCTCCTTCAGAGGCAGGGGTGTGGAGGCCCAGGGAGGCACCCACTTCTCTGACCACATCAGCCTCAGTGTCCAGAGTGGCAGCAGAGGGCTTGGCTTCAAAACTGCATCACTTATATTTGATTCTGGTCTTGTTCTTGTCACCCTGGACAAATTCCTCTCCCTCCCTGGCACAATGCCCCTCATCAAAGTGAAAATAAGAATATTGCCAGACCCTAGGTTTAGTTGTGAAGATTACATTGAAAAAAGGCATAATTGTCAGTGGGAACATAGTAGGTGAATAATTACATAGCTGGTTTTCTGCTGCCGGCTGTGCTTTCAGAGTCTTGAGCATGGTATACATATTTTGTTCCAATGATTATTCATCGGAGCCATTCTGCTCACAAGAGCCTCACTCAAATGCACTGCAAATACAACTGAGAATGAGCATGAGAATTTGACTCGTGGGACTTATCTACAGTAGGGAGAATAAAACCTATTAAGAAGAAAAGAATACTCTTGTTTTATTTATTCAACTCTCATTTCTAGTACAGCAGTTATGTGCATGCTTGACCTTCCTTTCTCGTAATTATTGCCCTTTCTCTGCCCACTCCTCTGCCTACTGAGCATTTCGAGCATGCTTTGCACACCATTGCTGTGTTTTGGGGTTTATTTTACTTATTGATGCTTTTAACATTGTAACATATTAAAGATTTCATCATTTCTGGCATTACTTTTTCTGATTTAGGCTAGCCCACTTACTAATTACCAATGATGAACAGATATTATAATTTACCTGCCTTTGACATATTGTTTCTGTGTTTTTGTTTTATTTTGTAACTTCATGCTTAATACTTTGATAGAAGCAGATCATTTGTGAGGTAAAATGTGTGTGTACATGAGTGTATACAGGTGTGCACATTTAAGGAGAGTGCACTAGAGAAATGGGACGAGACCCAGCTCTGATCTCCGTGTGTTTTAGACTACCTCCTCCCGGGCACCTCTCTGTGTGTGGACCATCTTCGAGGCTGGCAGGTTATTATGGGCAGCATCTTCTGTTGCCTCTTCATTTCCTCCTTAGATCTTCTTCTGGGAGACAGGAATGGAAGGTGATGTGGTGGCAACACAGTGCTCCTGGGGCCCCTCTGCCGTGTGTGGGTTGCATTCCTGTGGAGTTCTGCTCTACTTCTCATCATTGCCCCTCACTGACTACTATCTGTCACTCTGTTTGTTGTTAGAATTTGTAGGACCCTCTTGTTTAGCTTAAAAATTTATACATTCTCATTCAGAACAGCAGAGAACTAAATTGACTTTCAATCTTCTCCCTAGAGTTTCCCAGTTCCATTATTTTATGCACATAGTCTTCATACATGTGATAAAACACATGGTTTGATAATCTAATAATTCTTTGGCTTCAGGATGTACAGAACTTTATTCTTCATTTTTTATAGTTTCCCTATAGTTTCATGATGGTTCAAAAGACTCTAGATAAGCAGACTTTAAATTACATTTAACATTTGCTTCAAATCTAATAATAATTTTATGTCAGGGGTGGTAGAATGCGTCAGAGCACCTCAGACATTTCATATTGTCATCTTGTCCCTCATAAGCAGGAAACGACTGCATCTGAATGAGAACTTCAGCATCAACACGTGAAAAGTAAGTCATTGCTTCATGATACACTTTATGGTAGGAAAGAGTATTAACATCCAGATTGTTGGATATTCTTTTGATTTTATTTTTAAGTTTGAAGAAGATGCTGCTTAGAGTTCTTATTGCCTGATCAAAACTGATGATATTATTCCTTGTATTACAATAATAGTTCATTTACTTATTTATTTATTTATTTTTATCAGACCCAAACCATAGATTTACTGAGCGATTTAGAAAACATCTTGTCAAGTAATCTGCCTGGTCAGACATTAGATAATCGTAGTCTTTTATTTGACACAAATCCTGGACCTGACACCCAGTTCCCACCTGGCCCAGCCTGGAATCCTGGAATAGATTTTGATATTGAAGAGTTCTTTTCAGCCTCAAATATCCAGACTTAAACTGAAGAGAGTGAACTTAGCACCATGAATACTGAGCCTGTCTTAGAATCACTGGACATAGGGACTCAAACTGACTTTCTCCTTGCAGACACCTCTGCTCAGTCCTACGGGTGTCGGGGAAATTCGAACTTCTTAGGTCTTGAGATGTTTGACACGCAGACAAAGACAGACTTAAAGTTCTTTTTAGACAGTAGCCCTCATCTGCCTCTGGGGAGTATCCTGAAACACTCCAGCTTCTCAATGAGTACTAACTCATCTGACACAGAGACCCAAACCGACGGAATCACTGCTGCTAAAAACATACCTGCCCTGGAAAGCAAAGTTCAGCTCAACAGTACAGAAACACAGACCATGAGTTCTTGCTTTGAAACCCTGGGGAGCTTGTTCTTCACCAGCAATGAAACTCAAACAGCAATGGATGACTTTCTACTGGCCGACCTGGCCTGGAACACGATGGAGTCTCAGTTCAGCTCTGTAGAAACCCAGACCTGTGCTGAACTGCACGCGGTATCCAACTTCTAAAAGCTGAGTCTGTGTGGGGCAGCATTTACATCTCCTTTGCTTCTTCCCATCCACTTCCAATAATAAACTCATTGACTCTTTGATCTTGTCGAAATGTAATGTCGCTAATACTGAGAAGACAGTAAACATGATTTTTTTCGCTTCTTTCATCTGGACAAGTGAAGGTTAGTTCAGTTTCTTCTGTGCTTTGAATCTCATTATTTCCACCATCTTCTGAATCAGTCTCATTTTTTAGACAGAGATCCATTATTATGATGGTTGCTTAAAGTTTTTAACATCTTCTTCCTTTGGTTTCCCCGCCTCTGAAGGTCCCGTCCTTTGGAATGGGGCAGTGCCTCTCTGCCGTCCTGAAGTGCTCTGGGGCCTCGCCCCTGGGGCAGGGAAGCGGCTGCTCACACCCTCATGTGAGGTGGGAGGCCCTGGGCCGCTAGTCCTGGCCTCCGGGGCTAAGGCACTACTCCGACCCACGCTGGCAAGGCCGTTGCCAAGTTACGGTGGCGCTGGAGGCGTAAAGGTCAATAGTTCATTTATTTTGAGAGGCACTTTATAAACTTCTGTGGGAAGTAACTAAGGAAAATCCTACACATTTTAATTTATATACTCGTCTTTCAAACAGGAACACTTTGAATATTAGTTGGTGATAAAAAATGCAATTTTTTTGAGAGATCTTTTTGCTGTAGGGCATGTGCGCTCACTGGAGAGACAGAGACAGAAAGCGAGAAATCATCCCCCAGGGATGGCCACACCACAATCTCTTCTCCATTCTCCTCTCAGGATTTTGGGCATGCACCCACATGTGCCCAGAGTGAGGTTCAAGCATCCAGGTCTGGGATTCAACCCACGGTTGGCTATGTGGGAGTCCAGCACTTTGACCACTATGTCACCTGAAGGCCCCTGAATTTTTTTTATGCTCAAACATTTGCTGTTTTCCATAGTATCCAGGTGTAGTGCTCATGTAATTACTCAAAATGATCAGTTCAGTCTCTCTAGATAGTTCTGTCTAAAGGAAACTCACTGTCTTTTTTTGTTTGTGTAAGTTTTACTGGGATATAATTGGCATATAAAAATCATACATACTCAAGGCGTACAATGTGATGATCAGGCATTGTACACATTGTATGAAGATTGTCAAATGAAACTAACTCATACTCGCCGCCATACCTAGTTGCCATTTTGGTTCTAGTACTGCCACTCCACTTAACAAATTTCATGAGCTTTGAAATAAAGTTGTTTCATCAAAAATGACTGTGACCATAAATAAAGTAACATATTTAAAAACCATCATAGTTATCACATGTAAGATTACTATATTATACAATTATTTCAAGTGAGTGTGTATGTATGTAGTTGTTCTAAACCACAGTATAAAGCACATTGCTATCTGTGGGTCATGTTCAAAAAAGTTGAATGACTATTCAACTAATTTGCCTCTTTTTTTAGAGAGATTTTTGCTATAGGGTGCATGAGCTCACCAAAGAGACAGAGAGACTAAAAGCAAGAAATCACCACCACCACCCCACCCCACCCCCCGCGGGGGATGGCCACCCGGCAATCCCTTCTCCTCCATTCTCCTCTTGGAATCTTAGGTACACTTGTACATGTACCCAGTATGAATTTTAAGTCTCTGGGTCTAGGACTCGAACTGTGGCCAACAATGTGGGAGTCTAGCAATGTAACCATTACACAATCTGCTGGTGCCTTTTTGCCCATTTTTTAATTGACTTATTCATTGTTTTGCAGGTGAACTGTCTGAGTCCCCTATGGATTCTGATGATCAGTCGCTTGCCTGGGCTGTAATCTGCAGATTTTTCTTCCATGCTGATGATCGTCTCTTCACGCTCACTGTTGCTTCCTTTCCTGTGTAGCATCATTTCAGCTTGATAAAATTCCTCTTGTCTGTTTTGGGGATTATTGCCTGTGCTTCAGGGGACTTATTTAAGAAAGCTTTGCCTACTCCAATGTTTCCAAGAGTTTTCCCTAAGTTTTCTATCAGTAGTTTTATAGTTTGAGACTTTACATTTAATTCTTTGACCCATTTGAGTTGGTTCCTGTTATTTTTTTTTATTTGATTATCATAGCTTTGTAATGTATTTTGGAGTCAGGAAGTGAGATGCCTCCTACTCCACTCTTCTTGCACAGGATTGCTTTAGCAATATGAGGTCTTTTATGAATTCAGACAAATTCTGTGATTTTTTTCTAAATATGTGAAGAATATCTCTACAAATTTGATTAGGATTGCATTAAATTAGTAGATTAATTTTTGTAGGACTGATATGTTGATTATAGTAATTCTTCCAATCCAGGAAAATGGGATGTCTTTCCACTTTTTAGTGTCTTTTGTTGTTGTTGTTGTTTCTTTCTTTTTGTTACTTTTTCATAGTTTTTCTTGTAAAAGCCTTTGAGTTTTTTGGTTAGGTTCATTGCTAGATATGTTATACTTTTTGTGGCTAGTATAAATGGGATTGTTTTCTTCAATTTTACTCAGTCTGCTTCTTGTTCATGGATAGAAATGCTATAGATGTTTATATATGGATTTTGTATCCTGCTACTTTACCATATTCATTTAAGCCTACCAGGAGTTTTTTGTGGATTCTTTTGGACTTTCTATGTATATAATCATGTCATTTGCAAATAGAGATAGTTTCATTTCTTCTTCCTTATCTGAATGCTTTTTATTTTAGTCTCTTGTCTGATTGCATTGGCTAGGACTTTCAGTATTGTACTGAGAAGGAGTAGAGAAAGCGGGCAGCCTTGTCTTGTTCCAGTTTTCAGTGGAAAAGCTTTGAGCTTTTTCCCATTCAGTATGATGTTAGCTATGTGTTTTTCACATATGGCTTTTATTGTGTTGAGAAATGTCCCTTCTATGCCAATTTTGCTGAGAATCTTAATCATTAAGGGTTGTTGTATTTTAGCAAATGCTTTTTCTGCATTGATTGATATGATCATAAGATTTTTATCCCTCTTTCTGATAATATGGTGTATTAAATTTATGGTTTTGTATACATTGAGTCCTCCTTGCATCCAAAGAATAAAGCCTACCTGGTTGTGATGTATAATCTTTGTAATGTGTCATTGGATATGATTTGCTAGCATCTTGTCGAGAATTTTGCATCTGTGTTCATCAGGGATATTAGGGTCTGTAGTTTTCATTTTTTGTTATGTCCTTGTCTGTTTTTGGGGATGAGGGTGATGGTTGGAGGCGTCATAAAATGTATTTGGGAGGGTTCCTTCCTTTTGGCTCTTTAGAAATAGTTTGAGTAGAATGGGGGTTAACTCTTTTGTAAAAGTTTTATAGAATTCAGAAATGAAGTCATCAGGACCTGGGCTTTTCTCTGCTGGGAGGTTATTTATTACTGACTCAATTTTATACCATAGCTGACAAGATTATCCTTCAAATGGGGATAAAAAATAAAATCACTTTCAGACAAGCAAAAACGGAAAGAATTTACTAATTCTACACCAGCTCTTTAAGAAGTACTGAAGGGAGTACTATATCAGGAAAACTAAAGATAGACAAACAGAAATTAAAGAACAAAGAACAACCAAGAAAAATGCTTAACAAAATGGCAGGGACTCATCTGAAAATGTTGATAATAATTTGAATATTAATGGATCAAATTATCTAGTCAAAAGACATGAATTGGATGAGTGGATAAAAACCCAGAAGCCCTCTATTTGGTGCCAACAAGAATGTCACCTCATGGAAAAGGACATGAAGACACTAAAGTGAAGAAATGGAAGAAGATACTTCATGCAAATGGAAATCAAAAAATGTCTAGAGTCATGATACTGATATCAGACATAACAGCTTTAACACAGAAACTGTAAGAAGAGACAAAGAAGAACATTATATAGTACTGCCAGGGCTGATTCACCAGGAAGTACAACACTTACAAATCTCTCCCATGCTGATGAGTAGCTCTTCACTCTAACTGATGTTTCCTTTCCCGTGTAGCGGCATTTCAGCTTGATATAATTCCTCTTATCTATTTGGGGGATTATTGTCTGTGTTTTAGGGGTCTTATTTCAGAAATCTCTGCCTACTCCAATACTGGAACACCCAAAAACATGAAAGAAAGATGGCTTGATCTAAAGGGAGAGAGAGACTACAATGCAATAATCCTTGGGGGGGGGGACGGTCTCAACACCTCACTGTTTCCTCTGGACAGATTGTCCAGACAAAAAATAAGCAGAGATAAAGGACCTAAATGACACCATAGATGAGATGGACTTGGCAGACATCTATAGACCTTTCCACCCAACCACAGTATATATTTTTCTTACCCCTGCATGGAACCTTTTTGAAGACTGACCACATGATAGGGCACAAAACCAGCCTTTACAGATTCAAAGGCATAGAAAATATACCCAGCATCTTCTCAGACCCTGATGGAATTAAACTTGAAATTATTTTCTGAAAAAAAAAAAAAAAACCCTTGAAAATACACAAACATATGAAAACTAAACAACCTACTCCTGGGGGCCTGCAGGTGGCATGATGGTTGAAACACTGGATTCCCACATTGCTGATCACGGTTTGCGTCCAGAACCTGGTGGCTTACTTTCTCACTTCCCCTCTCTCTCTCTTTCTCTCTCTCTGGTCAAATTAAACAATAATAATGATAATGAATAAGATCAAATAAGTAATTATTTTAAAAAAACAACAAACTACTTCTGAAAGACTTCACGACCACTGAAGAATTAAGACTGAAATCAAAAGATTAATTGAGACCAGGGATAATGAGTACATGAGTTTCCAGAATCTATGGACACAATGCAAACAGTCACAAAGGAGAGCTCATGGAAATCAGTGCACAGAGGAGAAAGGTGGAAAGGTGGCACGTGGACAACCTAACGACACACCTCAGGGACCTGGAAAAACAACCACCCCCCAAAACAAAAACAAAAAAGAAATGCCAGGAGAAAATAAATAATAAAGATTTGAGCAGAAATAAATGGAATAGAGAATAAATAAATAATACCGAAAATAAATGAAGCCAAAAGCTGTTTTTTTCAGAAGATAAA